TGCAGGCCAATGCTGAAAAGCTGTGCCGCACCTATGAGGACCAACTGAGCGAAGCCAAGTCCAAGGTGGATGAGCTGCAGCGGCAGCTGACTGATGTGAGCACACAGCGGGGCAGGCTGCAGACTGAGAATGGTAGGTGGGGGTGTGTGGCTGTTCCTGCACTGGGGCGTCTGCGCTGGGGAGCTGTGGTTCAGTTGTGCAGGCTGTCCAGCTCCTCGCAGGGGCAGATATCAGTGGAATCTCCATCTGGAGGAAAGGGGAATGGATGTCCATGGTGTGCCTCTGCTCAGGGATTGCAGTGCTGTTGTATGGTGTGGCAAGGGAGGGGACCTCTGTGGCAAGGCTGTTTTAACAGGTGCTGGGGGGGGGGGGGGAGGTATGGTGATCTCAGGCATCAGGAGAGGGTTCTCAGCTGTCACACTTAGCCATTAGCTTCTGGGGGACACCTCTGTTCATGGGCCACAGCTTGCCTTACTGGGAATACAATTGGCTTCTGGCGTCTCAGTGCAACTGAAGGCCATAAGATGTGAGCGGGTGTGGGCTCAAGCATGGGTATCCAGCCCCAGCACAGCTGTTTGGCTGTGTTTGAAACCAGGGGAGCTGAGCCGGCTGCTGGAGGAGAAGGAGTCATTCATCAACCAGCTGAGCCGTGGCAAGACCTCGTTCACACAGACCATTGAGGAACTCAAGAGGCAACTAGAAGAGGAGACCAAGGTGAGACTGCTGGGCCATGGCTGGTCTCTGGGTGGCTCGGAGTGGCAGATGGCAGTGCAGTGGGCCAGCGCAGTACTGAGGAGGTGGGACATAACCTGCATACAGATGCACCAAGGCAGCTTTTAGTCACTGAAAAACAGAATTGCTTCCCAGCTGGCATCCAGGGGCCTGGGGCCAACTGCTTATCTCATGAGCTGTTCCTTCCTCAGAGCAAGAATGCCCTGGCGCATGCCCTGCAAGCTTCCCGCCATGACTGCGACCTGCTGCGGGAGCAGTACGAGGAGGAGGTGGAGGCCAAGAGCGAGCTCCAGAGGAACTTGTCCAAGGCCAACGCTGAGGTGGCCCAGTGGAGAACCAAATACGAAACAGATGCTATCCAAAGAACAGAGGAGCTGGAGGAAGCCAAGTGAGTCTCATGCCTGAATTAGGTTACCTGTGGGTGGCAGGTTTCTATTTAAGGATGTGACCCTCCCAAATCCGAGGCTTTTTGGGCAGACCAAGGCCTTCCCTGCAGAGCTGCAGGTGGGCTGGCATTTGGGCTGGAGGCGCTTACTCCTTGCTGCTGTCTGCAGGAAGAAGCTGGCCATTCGGCTGCAGGAAGCAGAGGAGGCTGTGGAGGCTGCCCACGCCAAGTGCTCCTCACTGGAAAAGACCAAGCACCGGCTGCAGACAGAGATTGAGGACCTCTCAGTGGACCTGGAGCGAGCCAACTCTGCCTGTGCTGCCCTAGACAAGAAGCAGCGCAACTTTGACAGGATCCTGGCTGAATGGAAGCAGAAGTATGAGGAGACTCAGGCAGAGCTGGAGGCATCACAGAAAGAGTCACGCAGCCTGAGCACAGAGCTCTTCAAGCTCAAGAACGCCTATGAGGAGTCTCTGGACAACCTGGAGACCCTCAAGAGGGAGAACAAGAACCTGCAGGGTAGGACTGGGATCAGGCCTTCCCTCAGACTGTTGGCAGCCTTGGCCCCTGCTGTCATGGACAGCCCATAGCTCCCATGTCCTTAGCCCTGAGGCAGCTGTGTGGCAGGATGGACATCCATCTAGGCAGGGAGCACTGTGATCCTTTGACAAGAGGGTCTTTTGTGGTTCCTCACATCCCTCCTGTGCCCTGTCCCTCCTTTCCTTTGCACTGGCCACAAGGGAGCACAGCAGGGCCCAGCAAAGGGGGCTGGTGCCCATTTTGCAGGCACAGCCTTGGCACCCAGGGACTGGGGGAACGTGGGCACAGCTTGGGTGGGGTGATGAGTTTGTCCTGCAAGAGGCTGGCACTGCAGCCCCACTCCTGACCAAACACCTTCTGCTCCTACCAGAGGAAATTGCTGATCTGACCGACCAGATAAGCATGAGCGGCAAGACCATTCATGAATTGGAAAAGCTCAAGAAAGCCCTGGAGAATGAGAAGAGCGATATCCAGGCAGCGCTGGAGGAGGCTGAGGTGAGCCTGTGTTTCTCACTGAAGCTCACAGATGCCTGCTGCACCTGAGAGCCCCTGGACTCCCTACAGCTCTGGGGAGGTGGTGCTGGGGCAACTGGATGCCATTCTGGGTCCTGCTTGTGGGGGCTGAGGCCAGGCTGGGGAGGCTTCCCTGAGGGACTTTTCCCAGAGCTGCTGTTGTCTGTAGGGAGCCCTGGAGCATGAGGAGAGCAAGACGCTGCGCATCCAGCTGGAGCTGAACCAGATCAAGGCTGATGTAGACAGGAAGCTGGCAGAAAAGGATGAGGAATTTGAGAACCTGAGGTGCGTGTGGCAGGCTGGGCTGCTGCTGTGGGCTGGGGCAGCATCATGGCCACAAGACAAGCACGTCTGGCTGAGGCTGATCCAGACAGATGTCCCCGGGAGTGGAGCTGACACATCATCCCTCCCGCAGGCGCAACCACCAGCGTGCCATGGACTCCATGCAGGCCACGCTGGATGCTGAGGCTCGGGCCAAGAATGAGGCTGTCCGGCTGAGGAAGAAGATGGAGGGAGACCTGAACGAGATGGAGATCCAGCTGAGCCATGCCAACCGCCAGGCTGCCGAGTTCCAGAAACTGGGTCGCCAGCTGCAGGCCCAGATCAAGGTGGGGGGGATGGGCTGACTGCTGCCCCTGTGCCACCCCTGCCTTCTCCTAGCTCTCTCCTCCTCCTTCCTGTCACAACTGACCCCACGCTGCCCCACAGGACCTGCAAATCGAGCTGGATGACACCCAGCGCCAGAACGATGATCTGAAGGAACAGGCGGCCGCCCTGGAACGCCGCAACAACCTCCTGCTGGCAGAGGTGGAGGAGCTGCGGGCTGCCCTGGAGCAGGCTGAGAGGAGCAGGAAGCTGGCAGAGCAGGAGCTGCTGGAGGCCACCGAAAGGGTCAACCTGCTCCACTCACAGGTGAGGGGCTGCAAACTGGCTCCTGGGGCACTGCTGGGACTGGTGAGCTGTGAGCCTGTTGGGCACGGCCAGCCCTTGTGGCACTGCCTCTTTGCCTGCAGAACACCGGCCTGATCAACCAGAAGAAGAAGCTGGAGACCGATATCTCCCAGCTGAGCAGTGAGGTGGAGGATGCTGTGCAGGAGTGCCGCAATGCTGAGGAGAAGGCCAAGAAGGCCATCACGGATGTAAGAGGGGGCTGGGGATGGTGCTGAGTGGCTTGGCAAGGTTATGCAGCATGCATGAAGGTCTCAGAGCTCTTCCAGGCAGGGCTGCCCAGTGATGTGCCTGTGCACTTGGCCTTGCAGGCTGCCATGATGGCAGAGGAGCTGAAGAAGGAGCAGGACACGAGCGCACACCTGGAGCGGATGAAGAAGAACATGGAGCAGACCATCAAGGACCTGCAGATGCGCCTGGATGAAGCAGAGCAGATTGCTCTCAAGGGGGGCAAGAAGCAGATCCAGAAGTTGGAGGCCAGGGTGAGGGAACAGGGGCAGAACCCTGGTGGTATGGGCTTTGCAGGGCACTGGAACTACACAGGGCAGGCCCAAAGACTTGTAAGCCTGGAGCCTTTGCCTGGAGTGGCTCAGCCTTAGCTGCAGCTGCTCTGAGCTGGGGAAGTGGCTGGGGCTCGATGTCCCTGCCTGGGCTCCCATGACTGAGGTGGCCTCTCCTGGCTGCAGGTGCGTGAGCTGGAGGGAGAGCTGGATACGGAGCAGAAGAAGATGGCTGAAGCCCAGAAAGGCATTCGCAAGTACGAGCGGCGGATTAAGGAGCTGAGCTACCAGGTATGGCAGCACCGGGCACAGCTTCGGCCCCATGCTTCTCCCCATTTGCTGACCCTCATGTTACTCAACACCCCCAGCATCTGCCCTCCTGCTCTGTGTTGGTGGCATGGCTTCAGCTGAGGGCTGGGACCCAACAGGGCCAGTCCAGGGGGCATGGAGTTGGTGGATGCAAAGGGAGCACAGGGCTGCCTTGCACTGGGGCAGCAGGGCTGAGAGGTCTTGCCCAGCACCGGAGCCCTGCTGACTGGGGTGGGGGCACTTGCAGACGGAGGAAGACCGAAAGAACCTGACCCGGATGCAAGATCTGATCGACAAGCTGCAGAGCAAGGTCAAGAGCTACAAGCGCCAGTTTGAGGAGGCGGTAAGTGCAGGTGTGCTCTGCTGCTCTTCTCTGGCAGTACTCAGGTCAGTCCCTCACCCCTGGCCCTGCCTCCCCCCAGGAGCAGCAGGCCAACTCCAACCTGGTGAAGTACCGCAAGGTGCAGCACGAGCTGGATGACGCTGAGGAGCGAGCTGACATCGCTGAGACGCAGGTCAACAAGCTGCGTGCCCGCACCAAGGAGGTCATCACCTTCAAGGTAAGGCCCAGCCCCGCTGCCCACCCTCTGCTGCCAGAGGAGCAGCTGCACAGCACCAACACCCTTCTCTTTCACCAGCACGAGTAGGAGGAGCGTGGCTGCCCACCCTGCTGCCTGCTGTACCTTGGAGGCAAATGGCTGCAACAGTCACTGCCAGCTTTGCGCCGAGTTAATAAACGTAGCTGTGCCAGGAGCGGCTCCTCTGTGTCTGTGCTGGTATGAGGGGCTGCAGCAGCGAGGTGCAGGGTGAGCTGGGATCTCTGGGAGCATCTTTCACAGCCAGGCAGCAGCAAGAGGCACAGGCCTTTCCGCACCCTGCACCAGTTTGCTCCAGGTGGGAAACAAGAGCCCCCCAAGCACACGCTGAGCTGGACAGACCAGAGCTGAGGGACGGGGGAGGGTGGAGTGCAGAACAGACCTCCTCCCACCATGGTAAGCACAGTCCTGTGCAGCACAGAGAGGTCGACCAGGGCTTTGGCAAAGGGACTACAAAAGAAAAGACATCTCCAGTAGTTTCTTTAAAATAGATTTCTTTAATAGTTTCCATTTAATATGTTTATTTGCAGTTAGTAAATTGGCATTCACCTGGGCAGCACACACCTCAGCTCTCCGTGGGGAAGTGCAGGCTTCCAGATGTGTTAGCGAGCAGGCTCCCAGCTCCGTCCCCATCCTTACACCCACCGCAGCCTCTGCCTGGTCCCAGTGAGGAGCACTGCCTGGGGGGACTGGCAGAGAAGTCAGCAGCCCCACCGGTGCTGGGCTCCGGGCCCCTTGCAAGCAGAACTGGCCCCTACAGTCCAGCACCTGCTGTTGCCAGAGGCTTCCAGCCTGGGCCTCTGCAGCCAGCTCAGCCTAAAGGTGGATGCAGAGCCAAGCTGCCTGCAGCAGGCAATGCCCAAAAAAAAGCAGGGCAGAGTGGAAATGGCCACCCTCCCCCACGAGGAGTAAGATTCACCAGCTGGGAGCGCAGCCAAGGACAGACAGAGCCTGGCCCCTCCCTGCTCATTACATAAATACAGAGATGTAAATGAGACTTTGCAGGTTTATAGCAGCAATCGTTGGATACACCAATTAACTAGACTATGGAAAAGGCATCCCTTAACTTAAAAGCCTTTTAATTTGAAGCATTTATTTTAAGTGTACATCTATTACAGTTAAGAAGAAGCAAAGATACACCAAAAACACAAATAGCCAAGAACAAAAAAGTACAGATGAGAAAGAAATCAGCTGGGGGGGAGGGGGGCAGAGGGTGAGGGTGAGCTGACAGAGAGCAGAGGGGCAGCTGCCACAGCAGCAGCACACTGGAGCTGGGCACGGCCTCCCCAGGGCTCGCCCTGAGCAGAGACTGAATGCCCCAGCCTAAGCTCAGCAGCTCTGCCCACCCTGCAAGCAAAGCGCGGCCTGCTGGTTGGAGCAGGACACAGAAGTGGGAGATAAGCAAGGGGTGACTTCAGAGAGCAACTCCTGAACGTGGGGCTGGAAGTCTCCGCCTCTCAGCCAGGTCCCAGCACAGGGACCCCGCAGAGGGGGCTTCATTCTGCTGCCAAGGGATAGAGACAAAACACACAGCTCAGGGCCCTCCTCAACCCTGGGCCCCAGAGAGCCAACAGCAAACTGTCTCATGAAAGTTAAAAGATTTCTTTAAAAGCTCAGATGCATTTTTCAGAAAACTGTGTCCTTTGAGCCGGAGCTGCAAGATGCAATGCTTTGAATTCAGTGCAGTGGTGCAGGATTTCAGGCTGTATTTACTCCTGCGACTGTGATGCCCTTGGAGTAACACAGTGAACACTGGGGAGCTGGCAGAGTGTGCACAGGCCTGGCAATCATGAACTGTGACTGCCAAAACCTGCTTTCCCCCCCCTTCCCTTCAGATCCTGCAAAGTTACTGTCAACTAGGAGCGTTTGTTCCCAGCCTTTAACACGTTCTGATTAAAACAGATCCAGGAAAAACTTGAGGTCTCTGCTCAATATTGCACTTAAGATTTATGTGTGTGTTGATATTAAGGACCTGAAGCAGAGACTGACGTAAGACTTCCACGCATTGCAGGTTAGCATCAAGAGCAATGGTCCTGAAAAGGATTTTAAAACCAGATTAGTTACCCAAGAAGGGACAAGCCCCAAGTTTAAAAAAATTAGTAGACTTTAATGCTAGTGCTCCATGAAGAAAGCCAACGCCTGCTGCAATTCCACCACTGAAATGTCTCTGTGCTCCGCAGCACTGTGAAATGCCTTCAGGTGGGGAGGATCTGCAGGAAAGAGAGCAGGAGCAGAGGATCTCTCCTAACACAGACAGCTGAACAGATTTAGTACCAAATGATCCAAAAGTAGATGATAAAGAGGTGACTGGAGCAAGGGCTCTCAGGAATTAAGAGCACGCACACACACTCACACTCTGACCAACCTTAAACCCGATTCCAAACCCAAACAGAAGAGTTGCACCTGGAGGGAGCCCTCTGCATGAGGCTGGTGCATCCAGGTCCCACGCAGACCGGCTCCTTGGAGCTCACATTTGGAGGGCAATTGCTGTGCTTTTCGACTTACTAATTCTGACAGCCATGGAAAAGAACCATAACTCCATTGGCGCACACAGACTATCCTCATCTGTCAGCTCAAAACTCTCTGACCATCCACATTGGATTGGGAGAAAGAGAGAGAAAAATGTGAAAGAAAAAAAGGGGGGGAATCATTTTTTTTTTTGCAGGTGATTCTTTTTATCCCAGAACAACTGGAAAATACATCCCTGAATGTGAACCCAGAGAGCTTTCAAAGTCTCATCCATCAGAGGTCAGACCAGGGATGGGGTTTGGACAAGGCGGCGACGCTCCGAGCCGCGCACACACACACAGCACAGCGTATCCCTGAAAATCCACGGGCTGACAGGTAACCCTCTGAGCGCTGCCCATCAGGAGCCAGAGCGAAGAATTACTCCTCAGAGAAGTCTCTGTCAATGTCCATATATGCCTCGTCGATGTAGCTAACTATGGCACAGGGGGACGTCCGGTCTGGACTGAGCAGTATAGATACAGTCTCTTTCCAGTAGGTAAAACTAATACATGAGCTCTGCGGGAAGAGATGGAGAGCAGTTAGTGTGGTCAGCAAGCAGGACACAGCAACAAAGGCATTCAGCAGAGAAAACTGAAAACTGCTTCCTATCCAGCCCAGCTTCACAGAATCATTGGAGGTGGAAGGGACCTCTGAAGGCATCTGGTCCAACTGCCCTGCAACAGGGACACCACAGCTCCATCTGTGCTCGGAGCCCCAGCCTGAGCTTGGGTGTCTCTGGTGATGGGTTGCCCACTGCTCTGGAGTTGTTGCCCCTCTGGGCAACCTGTGCCACTGCCTGTGCCCACTACCCCCATTTTAAAGAACTTCTGCCTTACATCCAGTCTAAACCTCCCCTCTTGTAGTTCGAAGTCATTTCGCCTTGTCCCATCACAACAGACCCCACTCAAGAGCCTGTCCCTTTCTTTCTTACAGCCCCTTTAGATACTAAGAAGTTGCTCCCAGGTCTCCCCCGAGCCTTTTCCTTTCCAGGCTGCACAGCTCCAGCTCTCTCAGCCTGTCCTCATAGGGGAGGCATTCCATCCCTTGGGGCACCCATAACCCTGCAGAGAACAGCACAGGGTTGGGCAGGCAGGGCTGCCCAGAAGCAGGTCACACTCACAAGCCCCAACTCCTCCTCTGTTGCCCAAATCAGGCACAAAGCAGGTCACTGTGGTGCTGCAGATGAAGCCAGAGCTGGCAGAGAGGCTCCTGCTCCTGAGCAAGACACAGAGGCAAGACACCCTCTCTGCTCACATCCATCTTGTAAAGCCAAAAAGCATCTCCTGCAACAACTAGCAGCCCCACTCTACACTAACCACTGTCTGCTATTTACCCACTGGACAACTATATCTGATTCTATGCACCAGACAGCAGCCCAAGACACAGCACGTACATACACGCAAGCACAGCACCCTGAAACACAGCATGGCAGACAACTCTGCTCTCAGCAGCATCTCCTGTCTGCAGCTCAAGAGACCCCGGAAGCATCAACGCAAACTGTGGCACGAGCTGCAACACAATGGCTGGCCTGCAGGACCCAGGGCACGCAGCCAGCGCCGCTCCTGCCAGGCTGTCAGACACTGCTGTAGTTGATTCTGGCTACAGTCACAGGTCCACCTACATTTTCTAAGCAGGTGCTGTCTTTATCCTTGTTGAGGTAATGCTGCTGCCAGAATCGCAGAAGACTGTGGAAGTTGTTCAGGATGAAGCCTGGATATTTTTCTGTGTACTCCATCTGTTGCAAAGTGCGCAGATAAAACGGTAGCTTTTCTTTCCTTCGGGCCAGCATTAGGATAACTAAACTTGTGTTCAAACAACTGACATTTTCCTAGAAATAAAAACAACACAAGAATTGATATCTTGGCTGCATACACGTCCTCACAGCACCTGGAGGAAGTGCTCCCATTTGTATCAGGAAAGAAGGGACATGGATCTCCTCAAGCAAAGCCAGGTTCCTCCCTGCTCCCAGCCCAGCACCAGCAAGATAACAAGAAAGTTACTGCCAGCTCTTTACCTGTGTAAGTGTCTGTACATGAATAATATTAATGAGACGGAAAAGAAAGGACATTCTCATGGACATCTGGGACATGTATGTTAACAGGCGGCACTCTGACAGGACTTCTGCAACTGCAGCAAGAGGAAAAAAGACACTCATCAGGTGCTTGAAGTTCAGACACGCTGATCACACACCACAGCAGTAAGAGCTAGAGGTTAGGCTGTAGGAACAAACGTGCTTGGCAACGTTTCTGTCTGATACTAAGATCTGTGGAAGTCTAGGCTTACAAAAACCACCATCACAATCAAGCCCATCTCTTGTCCTTTACCTTTAGCATCAGACTGGTTCTCAAATCGGTCCAGGGACAGCGTGATGCAGCGAACCAGCATGTTGGAGTCAACCAAGGAACTGTTGATCTGGTTTAAAAATATCTGGAACTAAAGAGAAACAATTCAGCACTCCAGGAAACAAACAAACCAACAGAAGTTGTCCTGCTTGGGCACACACAGATGAGGTCACACAACAGCACTTCATACCCCTTTCAGAATGCGTAACAAAAGAACTACCTCATCAGTACAGGGGAACTGTGAGCCTGAGCAGGAAGAGCTACAGAGTTGGGCAACAGCTGGGCAAACATCCAGGTTCTCAACACTAAATGAATGCAGTTCTTGAAGGTTATCAGAAACCACCCTGGGTTCTGAGCACAAACACCTGAAGCATGCACAGCACCAGACAGGCATGTGCAGATGTGGACAGCTTCCTTTCCAAGGGGAGAGCCAGGCTTAGGCTAGGTTTGAACGCCAAAACACATTTGGTTATTTTCTTCTCACACAAACACACACACTCATTATTTGTGTTAACCCTGACAAGAATAAAAGGAGATGTATTTGCAAGGCCAGGATTGTACATCTCTGCTTCTATTCTCCAAGATTTGCCAGACCTGACAGCAACCAGAGGTGAACTGAAGTCACATAAGCAAGAATAGGAGGCAACTCAAAACCTCCCCGAGAGCTGTGCATAAAAGCACAAAATCCCTCTGCAAAAGGAGAGCTGCCCATTCTTGATCTACAAGCACACCTCAGTTTTCTACGTAATCACATCAGGTGTGACTTCAAACGCCTGCAAGTTCAAATAATATCAAAGAAAATATCTGACAGTGCAAAAAGGCACGTGGGTGTTTTTAAGCTGTCTCCATTAAGGATGCATTTACTTTTGTAGTGAAGCTCCAATGAAACTTCCTTTTTTTGGAGCCGACCTGAATGTTTGTAGCAGCAGATTAACCCAAACCACGGTGACTTCACGCTAAGTGCTCGACAACCTCTGAGCCCTGACCTTGGCCCTGCCCCATCACATACCTGTGTATGCAGCAACATGTGTGCTCACAAAGACATTTCGGCAGCTCGCTGTGCTTGCAGCACCGAGCTCCATGTTCAGACCCAAAGCAGCAAACAAATCGGAGCTTCCAAGTGCTGCGTTGGATTGTAAGAGGGTGTAAGCTGACCTGCTGGTGACAAATATTTACCTTCTCATCTGTGTTGATGTACTTGTTGAACCTCTTGAATGCATCAATATTGAATTTCATCAGTTCTCCCAGAAGGTCAAAGTAACTCTGAAGCACGTCCCGTGATTTGCACTCACTGTCAACAATGCAGTAGAGAATATGCTGGAAAGGGAGGGTAACACGTTATTGTCACAGTTGAGCCCATGTTCTTTGGTTTGATCACTAATTTCAAACACTTTCCTGCATGTCCAGTTCTTAAATTTGAACCAAAGACAAAAATTCAGGAGTCTCCTCTATTAAACAGAATTCCCAGAGATGCAATCTATAGAGTTGGCTGCCACAAGAACTCACAAACGCTTTGCAAAACTTGTTCTGTTGCTACAGAGCAGAGTATTTAATGCTGTATTTTTACCCCCATCTGAATTCTTTACAGATAAATCCTCCTCAGTTGCTACACAGGCAGGTCGACAAGTAATTCATTACCTCCAGAAGTCCTCTCTTTAGCAGGAACATCTGGTCTGCATAGGAGGTGGTGCCTCGCAAGAAACTTTCAACTGCTCTTGCTTGCCAAAACCTGAGAAACGAAAGAAAAGAAGTTTTAAGTTTGGAATAAGGATAGGAATTCTATCACAACTACAGTTGAAATTTCCTAACCAGTTTCATTCCAATCAGAAGCTGGAGAGATATCTGTTGATCCTGCAGAAAACCACTGCCTGTATGGGGATGAGGTCCAATGCAAGCTTTGGCACTCTCCCTCACCTGCACTGCCACTGTTAGTCAAGCACAACAAAGCCACATTATCTTCACAGCTTATGGTTTTTGAGCATTTTCAACTGCATTTTCACGTGAGCTGTATGAAAACAGAACAGCCTTCCGTTCAACTCAGAACAGCACGCTGCAATGTAAAGCCAGCCTACCTGAAGGAGGATTCAGCTGGTTCCTTCTTCATGACCTGAAGCAGTCTGGTCAACAAACCTCTCTTCCCATCACAGACAAGACTCCTAAAACACGGGAAGAAATGACTGTGTGACTGGGAGGGCAAACACTGCGCCTTGTACAACTCTGAAGTGCTCCAAAAGATAAAGCCCACAGTATTCCATATGCATCATGAAAATTCACTGACAGTTCTGCCACTGGCAGAGTTCTCAATGGCTCTGGTAAACTTCTGCAATACCTGCAACACGACTTAGGGATAAATCCTAGAAGAAAAAAACACTCCTTTTCTCCCAACATTTTAACAGCAGGACGGGTCAGAAGTTGGACAAGATGATCTGAGAGGTCTCTTCTAACCTTAATGATCCTAAGGCTCTACACGAGGTAGCCTTCTAATAAAACTATAGAGGTGAAAGGACTGCAGCACTACTTGTATTAAGCAGCATCCTCAGTGGAGTATTTACCTACAGGAACCCCGGGCAGAAGCAATGCCTTGAACTCATGTATCAAGAAAGGCAGCACGGAAACAAAACACAAAGGATGGGAAAGAAACTAAGTTCATGCCAGAAACCAAGCAATGTTGCACATCTGGCTACACAACCCACCTTAAAGAGGCAGAGCCTCTCACCACGCTCTTTCACTCACAACATCCTCAGCAGGTGCATTCATGCATCAACCTGGCCGTTCTCAGCAGCACCTCTGCTGGACAATCAAGTCTGCTCACCAAACCCTTGTGGGAAGCAGCTTCCCTGGCATTCTAGGAGCACTCTGACAATCAACCCTGGGAGTTCATCAAGTTTGTGTGTGTTTGTATATCAGAGTTCAATATAAGACCTCGTTAAAGCAAACCAGCAAATCTAACAAATCTTCAACTGTAGCACCAGAGATTCTGCAAGCAGTTTAACATATTAATCTGATCAAGCTTACTCTCATTTTCAGCCAGTCTGAAAATACAGAATTCAGGCAGGCACCTTCAGAAACGTTTTTGCAGCCCACAGATGGACACTGTGCACAAACTGCTCCTGAATCTGAAAACTAAGATCTATCAGCAGCAGCAATTGATGCATTAGAGGCACCCCAGCTTAATTCCCAGCTATGTCTGCAAGGCCAGCAGTGAGAAAAGCCTAACGTGCAGCCAAGCTGAGAACTTGAAGTTCGGGCTCTGAAATCAAAATCCTCATTGTAAGTTGCTGCTGTTTTTAAAGAGAGCACGAGCACACCAAGTTTGCTAATGACCACAAACACCACACAAAGCTGGACGCCTCCTGCTGAGAACTGTGACTGAAATCAAAGCAAACGTGGTGGACCTCAAACAAAACAGGCGACATCAAATTCCCAGTGTAAGTGCTTGCAGAATGCTAGCAGCTGCTGTCCTTGAACCCTCTGTCCCTACTCACCTGTCTGTGTTGACAACTGCATCAACTTCAGGGATGTTGGCTTTGTGGGAGATTGCACTCAGCTCATTAAGTTCTTGGCTGTTTAACAGGAGATATTTGTTCCTAAAACAAGACAATTGGGGAGCAGGGGAGAAAAACGTGATGAATCCATCCGAGTGGCAAGCAAACATGCAATTCTATGGGACGTAATGCCACAGGCCTCTGAGGGCTGCAGAACAAGGCACTCAGTTTTCACCTCTCCATCTCTCACAGCCTTTCACCCTACCAGCCTCCACCACAGCTCACTCCCACTCTAAGCCCACCAGCTGCTGTTTTCTCAGGGTCCCTCACAGCTTTCAGCACCAAGCAGCCCTGAGATGCCTGTTCTGTGCTGTTCATCATCAGATGGAGAGTTTTCCAAATATTTGCTTCCAGATGGCTTTTGAAAATCTCAGCAACAGTTTGATGGATTTCTGCAGTCATAAATAGTAAATTTTTTCACAGCTTCCAACAGTTTTTCTCCTCCAAATAATGACTATGCTGCTTATCAGTAATTAGCCTCAATTGGAAAGCAGCAACTGCAGGAATACTCAGTCTTCCTGATATTTTAAACACTCTGGAATTATTTAAAGGCTTCATAAAACACAGAAAACAGGAATGAATATTAGAAGGAGGAATTTGCATAAATGCTTTATCAAATAGTGTTTTTTTTTCTTAATGAAAGCCACTGAGTTTCTCTGTGAAGAGTTGTGCAGAACAAGTCGGACAATGCAGAAATGGACTCCAGAGGCTCCCACTGCCAACTCCCCAGCTCCAGCACGTTCTCCACTTCAAATTCATCATTAACAGACAACAAAATGGTACTTTCAAGAAACACAGAGTACAGGATGCAGCCGTGGGGGTGTGCAAAGGGAACCTATTAATCAAAACACAGCAATTATGAAGAAAATAAGTTATTAGACCAGAAAGGTGGCAGGGATGCCTTCTTGCTTCGAACGCTATCTTCCAGATTAGTGCCCAATGAACTGCCATGTGAAGCTTCTTTTGATCTGCATCAACAGGTTTCTGCAATGAAAATACAGCCTCTCTCTCCATGCACAAACAGTTTCTGCAAGTGCAGTTTATTTGCTGTTTTACTGCAGTCAGTATCAGGATATAAATACTTCCTCCCATTGTGTCCTCAGCTAACTCCTCCAAACTGTGATTTCATAGAGTTCAGGCCACTGCTTGTTTAAAAACCCTGGGCAGATTCCACACATACCATCTGCTCAAATGCTACAGACGAAAGCAGTTTTCTGCCTAAACAAGTCTGAGATCTTTGTAGCAGCTACTTAAGTAACATCATCATCCAGAGAGATTTTACTGGAAAACCTGGAGCGATTCCTCAGCAAGCAATGCCTCAATGGAGGATCTGTTCCTCTTAAGCTTTGAAGTTCAACAAATCCCTGGTTCTTACAGCTCATATTGCCAAATCAACAAGATTGCCACTTCCAGCACACATATATAACAAGTTCAATGGTACCAGATAAAACCTACACACAAAATACCATTGCTGGCTGTAAATAAGAGCAGCGAGGCAGCAGGTGTAGATGTGCATCTTTAGAGCAACGTGCCTCAATGCATGTTTGTATGGAATGTGGAACCATCTCGTAGGGGTGAATGAGAGCAAAAGCACACTGACAGCACACAAGACGCAATTTTTCAAGTCAAACTAAACCAACGATTATCTCTGTATAACAGAAGGAATATCTCCTGGGTAAGCCTAAATTAAAAACCTGTACCATCCCATAACTGCTTCCATTCAGAAGGCATGCTTATGAAGGTTGGTTCTGCTGGAGTAAACAGAAGCTTTTCTTCCATTTCCAGACCAGCTTCCTGATGACTAGCTTACAATTAATTTTCCCCTAGCATTTTCTGATCAAGTTTAACCAGGTCTTCTCCATTGCTGGTGTTTAGATGGCAGTGACATCTTCCCAGCATTTTGACAGTGAGCATCCTGTCTTTCACCCTGATGTTTTAACAGACTTACATTCACTCACAGGGAAAACATCTGATGTGAGCACACTGCCTCACTACTGAGTCTCAGGAAAAAGACAGGAACAGCACCACCAAGGCTGCAACCTTATTTCTGCAGCCAGCAGTGGTTGCTCATCACAGCGTTTCGGTCCATTTCAACATCAAGCAAAACGGGTTAGTTTTAATCATCATCAATCCTGCCCAGAACACAGCCCTCTTCTTTTTGCATCAGGAGCTTAAACACAAACATTAAGGACAGCACAATATTCCATTCACACACAGCCTGCACCATGGCCAAGACACCTGCTGTAACTGCAACCAGGCAAACAATACCACGGAGCCACAACGCACCACAGCTTTTCATACTCACTCGTGGTGATCACTAAAGCTCTGAAGAAGCCTCAGGAACTGTATCTTTAAAGTGATATCCTACAAAGAGGAAAGAAACATCAACAGAACTGCTTCAGTATGTTTTTGGACATCATTAGTCACACTGATACAAAACAGCTGAAATGGAAACCTACCCAAATCAAACCCATTTGGACAGCAGAGCAAATGATCTGCATAAATAGGGAAGGCTGCACTTCTCAGGCTTCCCAAAAACAAAATAGAACTGGAGGCTTCCAGCAAGACAATGCATGTAACAGTTAATTCCTTGCTAGACCCATCAGCAATTATTTCATCTTCTCCTAGCTTTGGCCTCCAGGAGCCACAGAATGAACATCTTCTGAGTTTCCAATACAGAAGAGAGGGGAGAAGCCAAACTGCCCTCTGATAAATGCTACAGTACACCACAGATGAAGACTTCAGTGAAAGCAATGATTTGAAGAACCAGAAAACCCAAGTCCTACTGTGTTTCACCAAGCTTATTACACAGGCATTGCTTTACTCAATACAATGTCTCAGAACTGTATGATAAATAACATCAAAATCTGCACAGAACTTAAAAAGTTACTCACTGGGCTACAGTCACAATTTTGATTGTGTCCATGCAGAACAAGAGCAGATGCTGAATGCTTCCTCCAGATCAGTTTGTCAAACAAATTATTGAGGCCAGGAATAAGTTTGAACTCTGCTATCATTTTGTGAACCTGGAAAAGAAGAGAAGGAAGGATTCACCCCATATACAGATACAACACAGCATGGAAAACACATCATACTGACAAGAGAAAAAGGAAATGCTTTGCCAAACAGCAAGTGTGTGCAGTAACACAGATATTCAGCATGGTGTGCTGTCTGTTGGGCACAGGCAGAACACACTTTGGGAAAAAGCAGGGATTTGAATTAATCACTGTTTGGACACTGGGAGATCACTTGCAACCCACTGAAAATACCACATATAACTTCTGTGTCACAACACTAAGCTGCATACATTCTGCTGCCAGTCCCCCTCTGAGCATCCTCTGCCGTTCTAGTTCACACAGCTGGAGCTGAGGCTGCCCTCTGAAAACAACAGGAAGTATGGATACAATTTTTGCTCACACAATCTAGAGCAGTGGGCAGCTTTCCATATGATCACACTGCAGGACACACCGTGGTGTCCCACACCCACTGTCTGAAACAAACTGCAGTTACTCGTGTAAACCAGTGACTGCGGTGTGAACAGCTGCTAAATAACTACAGTCCAAGCTCTGATACTTTTTGATGTAAGCAACCTGGACAATGATGAGGAGGAGAAATACAAGGTGAGATCCTCAGCAGCTGCAGGCCAATGACAAGCAGTATCCCTTGATTCCTGTTGCAAAAGGGAATCACTCAGGACACTGAAGCCCAAGTGCTCCACACAGCAAAGACCTGTGCAGTTACCTGAACATTAAGTCAGATTGTGCCTGTGATAGGGATTGTAACTAGCAGTACTTAAGCAGATCATGCCAGCTTTACTTCCTCAAATAGCATTAAAGCCAGTGCTGTTTTACAGGTGTTCTTGTCAGCAGCACAGCTAATGGGCTTTCTGCATTCCTTTTGGCTGTAGCCACAGACTCTTCCATCGACCTGGAAATTGCATTCCCACTTCTGGGAACCTCTGCATCACCTCACAGGAAGCATGCAGCTCCTTCCCACCTCACCCAAACCACCCCAACAGACTGCAAGGCTCAGAGTCCCTCTGTGCTCCCTTACCCGAGGGCATTTTCAAATACCTTGACCAAGTCACAAGCACCCAGCAGAAGCAGCTCTGAGGAATCTGGACAAAGCATTCCCTGCAGCCTGTCTTTTGGCAGCCAGCATAGCACAGATACAACAGGGTGAGCGCAAGCGTGGGAGCTGCCTGCAGGAGCCTGGGCCCAGCTGTGGGAGGAGCTCGCTGTGCTTTAGCTCAGGAACCTGCTCCTTTCCACGCCAGCATAACCGCTCATTCCAAGCGACACCTTCCTGATTTGAAATGCATTTGGTTTACTTTCAGTTTGCTGACCTTTTCCCTGACAGGCCTCAGCAGGATGAAGCTCCCAAATGACAGCCACTGCCCCTCAGAACCAAACTGACTGCAACTGCTCAATCCAGAGATGCCAAGACAATCCTTGTTCTACACTCATCCTTCAAACTCCTTTGACTTTCCCCAGCGCCGCCCAGCCTCACACAAACTGCTCTGCTCTTTCTCACCACTAAAACTGTTCGGAGTTTCTGCTGCACGCAGTTTGGCTCTCTGTAGCAGAAGTAAAAGAGCTGATTGCTTGTCACAATAGGAACGTGCAAGACACGCAACAATTCAAATCCAGCCTTGCACAATCTCCTGAGAAAAAGAAACCACAAGCCAGTTTTACCCCAAGACTTCCAATGAGGGCAGAGGAAGAGTAAGGGGTTTTTCTAGCAAATAAAAACCAGAGTCAGCTTCAAAGCTAATTACTTCAGCAGCATGCTTCCTCTGGTTATTATTATATAGAATTTCTTTCTAACACAGAGCATCCCTTTGCAGGGTCACAGTGAACATTTTGCAGAACTGTACTACAAACACACTTCTACTTTAAATTCAAATTAATATGTTTACAGGATTATCTATGGCAAGTATTTATGACTCCTACAGGGTAGGAGGTTACTGGCAAAGAACAAACTGCACATGATAAATGTGCTCAAGCAACAGCCCCCAGCTAAGTCTTGCTGAATACTACAGCCCTTCAAGGATGCAAAAAACCCCCTGGATTCTCCCAGTTTTCAGGGCATTCCAATACCCTGCTATTCCAAGCTGCCCAGCTAAGCTGAGGAGATTGTCAGTACTGCAAATCTGTGAAGCCTGCACCAACAGATTGCTTCCTCTTTCCCCTTCTCAGTATGCTTTCAACATGTTTAAAACCCAACTACAGCCATGCTGTGGTGATAGGTTCTCCAGAAGTTACATAGAATAAGTAATTTGTTCCCTATTTTTCATTTCAAATGCAAGAAATGCAAATGGAACATATGAACAGGACTGCTGTGAAGCACCTAGAGCTGACAAAACTGAAGTACGTCATCTCAGCTTTATACCTTGAGTATCCTTTCATGTTTCTGTGTCCATGACCTAATTTATGAGTGCTTCAGTCTGAAGGGATATCAACTTCTGCATGTAACCATCCACAAATACTCACCTGATTCCTTTGTCTCCCCATGAGCAGCACACAGAGAACATACAACACCTCCAGTTTATACATGATCTCGTGCATGATCTTCATGGACTGTGGAAGCTGCGTCCGTGTCGAGGTGTTGGCCAAACCACTTTCATCAGAAGACTCTGAACAAGATGGCAAAGATGTGAGCCTGAGGCAGTTTCAACAGGAAAGGATTTGTTACAGTTATTGCTTTTACACTCAACACAGATGTAAGACCAGCGTGCCTGCATGAATCCTCTTCTCAACTACAAGCAGTGGCATACAACAGAGCCAATCTGAACGCAAGGGAAGGAGAAAAAGTACAGCTGAAATTTTAGAAGAGATAAAAGTCTGCCTTCTTAAAATCTAATTTTTTCATAAGCTAAATGACATCATATACATTAAAATAAGCAAGATCAACTAATATGAGTTAGTATACCAATGAATCAGAAAGAACATGAAAGAAAAGGTAATAAAAATAGGGGTGAGAGCATCAGTAACATTTACTATTAATCCACTTGCATTTTGTACCTCAATACCATTATATACTTAGGACACAGTTAAGCCATTTTCATGTCCTGCTATACTGCTAAAAGCAGAAACTGGATGCCACAATTTCAATTGGAAAACACAGAAGCTGTGAGTGACACAGATGAAGTAAACAAGGAATCCTGCAGACTGCAGTTAAGAAGGAATGAGGTCTTCACAACATTCATAACTAAGCTGCAAACCAGCCTGCTAGAGGACAGCACGAGTGCTTTTTGAAGCCATGTGAAGAAACATTCAGTAGACAAGAACATGGAAGAAGGAAAGCATCAAAGGCTAAAAAGCACAGACAGCACCTTTGACTCATACATCCCTAAGCCACAAGTCAGTGAAGACTGAGCCAGTATTCTGGGAAAGTATGTCTAGCTTTGCCTGCTAACTGATGCTGTGCGTCAAGAGCTGCAGCTGAGCACGTTTATGCATACCTCAGCAAAATCACTCCCTGAATCTCATTTCAGACTACAGAGCAGTCCCAGTTTGCACCAAAGGTGTGCATGAAGGTATGTACAAGATGCTTTGGAACATTTGCATCCTTCTCTTGTGTATTTCTCAGGACTGTTAATAATTTCTACAAAATTAACAAAGCTGGGTTGTGGCGAAAGCCTCTAAGGCTAAGCTTCCTAAGCACAAAGGCAAATATTTAGATACTAAAAAGTGGAAATAACTCTGATCTCGTTATTTAGTGCTCTGAGTTAAATAAGACACACCTGGCATTTTGTAACACTGAAAAAACAAACCAGGCCCTCATTTCATAGCTTTCTCTTAAGGTTGCACTGACACTTCTGAACAGTCCCCTGGAAGAAGCTCCCCCACCAACAACCCCATCTTGCTGGAACTACCCCTCCTTCTGAAAGAGGGGGTTGCCTGCTTCCTGTGAAGCGTATGGAATGAATTCCATTTGCATGAGCAAACCCTGGTAAAGTCACTTACCCCACTTATCAGACACGTTCTTGAGGGAGATTAGTTATGAGGGTGTACAGGATTACAAATAAACTGTGTGAAAAGGAGTATTTTTTTTCCCTTTCACTAACTTGAGCTCATGAATACTAAATCAATGCTATCTGAGACCAAAACAGGAGTCAGACCTAAATGCTGATATTTCAGTATTTCATGCAAGAAGAACAGAATTGGTACTATTTGAAAGGAAAGGCACCAGAAGACAAACACTGAAGATGACAAAATACGCATTAGCTAGTGGTGGCTAGAGGAGTGCAGGCCAGATACCTGTACTGCTCTGCTCTGCCTCTTCATTTGCCACTCTCATCAATGCATCAAGGACGAGGGCATTGTCCAGCCAGGTGTACCACTCTTCTAGCTCCTGGAGGAAGCTGGAGGTGCCTGTTGTTTCAGATACCTTCCGTGTTGCCAGTTTGCATAATCGTTCAATGAAACCTGGTATATTCAGAAGTGTAGCTGGAAAAGAAAAATTGATTTGTGGTGATTCAAGATCAGCAATACAACAGTTGTCAAGTTACCACCAAGTACCAAAACATCTGCATTAGTAACATGGAGGAGTACAGAAAAACATATTTCACCTAGTTGAAAAGATCCAAAGATTGAAGACTGATTGCACTCTCCTGTTAAGAACTGGAAGACAGCATTCATACCCTAAGCATAATTCAGCACTGGCCTGGTTTATGTAAGACTTACAGTGGATAAAAAGTAGCTCTACCCTACTCTGACTGTTTCTTCCTGGTCAATTCCCTTTTGCCAGCACTGCTGCTTTCCAGCCCACAGAGAGACAGTATCAAGAAATTAATCTGGCTGAAAAATAAGCAGGAAGAAATAAAGCAGCAGCCCTTGCAAGGGCCAGCTCTGCCTCCCCATTCCTCTGCACAATGCCACCTCCAACATTTTACCTCCTGCAGTCCTTTGCCTCAGAGCAAACTGAACCAACTCAGTTCAATAGCTGGTTGGAAAAGGCTTCGTTTTTTATGTGTTAGTTTCCTGAGCTGGTTCAGCACAGAGCAGAACAGGAGGGGAGCACACAACATCTGCCCCAAGTTGGAGGATTATAATCACTGTAGAACTGCACTCTTACAAAGAGCAATGAGTCCAAGGCCAGAAGTCACTGATCTGTGAAATCTCTGGGGAAGGGCTTGGAAGGTGTTAGCAGGCACATTTTGTCCCACTGTTTTCAAAGAGTCATAATTGCAGGACCTGTTCATTACAGACATATGTCTAAGTCTTTGCACTTGCAGATAAAGCATAAAACACAAAGATTTAGCCATCAACACTATACTAAGAGCTGTGATTCTGCCCACTGCTACCATCTTGAAAAGAATAAACTCCCTGATGAAAGTTTTAAAATTACATATGCTTTGTAATCTTAGGCACAGTTGTGACTGTGCAAACAAGAAATGGTTAGTTAAACATTTGCTTGGGTAAACTCAGCTCTGCAGGATCCAAGCTTATTGTTTAAATAATTTAAATTAATCTTTGCACCCACACCAACATATGTCCACTGCAGTTTACAAGCAAGCTCTGGTGATCACAGGGTAGAAAACAATACACTCCTCTAAAGCTTCTCAGCTTCTGCCTGCCATATTATGCTCTGCATCTCTCACTCTGTGCTCCAGATCAGGCAGTAGTTACAAACAGAGCTCTATCACTGATGGCTAATGTGGAATACAGATGAGAGAAACAGCTCCAAGCTCCCCCAAACCTCCCCTCTTTTTTTTTTTTTTTTTTTTTTTGGAGTCCTGAGGTGGCCTGACATAAGCCTACAGAAATGCCTGCCTCAGAAGCTCTTCAGTATATGAATAGCTGAAAACAGCAGATTCCATCTTTGAGGGTATTTTAATTCAAATATCTTGCGTGAAAGGCTGAGTATGGATTCAGGACTTGTGCCTCCAAGCAAGGCTTCTGCATCTCTACACAGCAAAATGAGAAAATGGGCGCTGCGTCCCAGGTTTAAGTTCAGATTACACCCACAGATCTCAAGGGCTGGTGTGGTAACTGTAGACAACGTGACTAACAGCAAACATACTCTCCTTGTTGATAAAGACAGACATCCTGCTCATGACAGGGCCAGAGAAAAATCAGAGAAGGGACTGCTCTGAAAGCAGCAAAGTCTGTAGAGCTTCAGTTCAGGAATTAAGGAGGACATGAAATTAATGAGATGCTAAAGGAAAGGCCACAGAAACAACCAAGCAACAGAAAACAAATCCAATTATCTTAAGCCAATTCAGTTAATCAAAGGGGGCTAAAATGACAGAACTCAACTGATCTAATTACTGATCACATACAAAAGTGAAAGCTACATTAACTGCAAAGACCATTTCTAGGAGACTGTTCAAAGAAAGGAAATACAGACAAATGCTTTTTGAGATGTATCACTCTCAGCATCTGCTAAAAACACACTACAGACCTGACATGGAGAAGAGCTAAATTTTAAATGGCTATCATTTTTCTGCATCTGTTCACAGCATAACAATTACCTTGATTAACTTCAGCTCGAGAAGGACCCAAGTTTTTTTTCTGCTGGGCATTTTTTGCAAGAAGTGTGTGCTTGTCATCACTTCCTGTATCGAGTTCAGAAATTGTGACTGCGAGGATCCTGCAGAAGTTTGCAAGCTGTTGCTGATCAAAACTGGACACAAGGTTTGCAAGATTGGGAATATCATCCAGTTGTATCATTTCCTGGAAGAGACAACAATCTGCTGAGCAAATCACACATGGTATTCAATAAGGGAACACATGGCGTGGCCTGAAAGTTTCATCTACAGTTCCTCCCTGGTGGGATTTGTGCATCTCAATGTTAGTAAAGGAGAAGCAAACAGGCAATGACAAGTGAAGAGTTTGAAAACAGCTGTGCATCTGCAACAGGCATCACTTATATTTATCAACTCCAGAAGGATACAAAGGCATCCTTAAAGTCTTCAAAGAACCCATTCTTTATGCATCTACATTGAATTGCGCCGTCTTCTTCAAAATTGCTTAATAAACCACTGGCATTCACAAATTAAGTTTCAAATTTGTTCTCTGCTTCTACCTGCAGTCTCTTGAAGGCTCACAGATGACAACTGACTCCTAGTTTGCTTTTCCCCCCGTCTCCTTCATTAAAAGATAAAGAAATGATGTTGAAACCATTTTCAGCATAAACTTTTACGTTCGGATGAACTAAGATAGTTTCCTTCCTAGGGAAGTACAATATCCTCAACTTCAGTCAGAAGACAAAAAAGCAAAACCAGCAACAGCTACAAGGCCCTGACCCTCTCCACATTAACACACAAGGTACATTTCCTCAGGGTTACACTCCAGATGTTTTATTTGCACCACATCAAGGCACTAAGTTGCAATGACATCAGCAAGGATTTCAGTGCAGGCTCAAAAACCTATTTCATGCACAAGATCGCACTGCCTTCCCCCACTTCCTCACCATTCCCCCAACCTGCAGCAAACAATCTCAGGTAATCTCAGAGACATGACAAAAACCATGGTAAGAGAGAAGCACAAGAAGTCTTCCAGATGTTAGCAGAAATAACAGAAATAATCAATGTGTAATTAGAAGGAAAGGACTATCATCCTGTGCAAGTCATGCAAAGCCATTACAAGTAGCCACGTACATAATTTGGCTTCTGTCTGAATTGTAATTAAAGACAATGTTGGTGTAAACAGCCATGCTTCAAACAAGCTACAAGAAGCAAGAATGCTTGCTATCTTAGAGTGCTGTTTTCAAAGAAACTGCTGTGTTTCCCCACTGGCCTGAAAAGCCACACAAGTATAAGAAACCAGTAACAAACCTTTTTTACTCCCAAGATATCTTCAATGAGCGTTGCAGTTTGTAGGAATGTCTTTTTGTTTGTCATCAGTGTAAACAGGAAGAGCACAAAGTCGTTTCTTTCTGCCAGTCGCCTCGTGACTCCCTCCGTCTAAAAAGGAGAAGCACCAACAGACCCGGAGTCAGAACCCACCTTGCTGAGTCACACGTGGCACAGGCACGTACAGAACAGTTTCTCAGAGGCTGTGTTACAAAATCAGCTGCTCCTGAGACCAGAAAGCACTGTGTTTATGGTGACCAAAAGCAATTCCAACCCTTGTTTGAAGTTAAAATGGGCTGTTCAAAAACTACAGACTCCAGGATGGGAGGCTTCATCTCAAAACAGAGTTGTTTACTTGCTTAAGCCAAGAGTAAACACTGCATGCTTGGAAACACATCAGAGAGGCTCGCCTCTATTTTCCCATACAAATTATTGTCAGCTCCATTTTACAGTGTGCAAAATTCAGCCATCAAATTCCTCCTAAACTGTCAGCATTGCTTTCAGAGCTTGAGCAACCAGAATCCAGTGTCAGCCATAACAAACCTAGCAAAGAACAGAACAGTCATACTAAAGCATGCTGAAGAATAACTTCTGGAGTCCCCACACACTTCATTACAGTTAGTTTTCGTGCTCTCAAACTGCTCAGTTTGCAAAAGTTGCATTAGCTTTGCTTTCAGAAAAATAAAACTAGTGTGAGTCAAGTGAAGTGTCATTCCCTCTGTTCTCCTTTCTGTACTCAGATACAGAGTACTCCAACTCTGGAGATAAAGCTGCTGTCTTTGGAAGAGCTCCAGCCCAGTAACCACGTTCGTGGTTTGTTTGGCTTTTTTCATTAAACAATGCTCCCTAGGTTATGGCATAATGAACTGTGTGATTAAGTAAACAATGCTGAGGATATTTCCTGTAAACATAATGAGAGGCATGCCCTTCTATAGCTGGCACTGATCTGCCATCAACTGGCAACTGAGCTGACATTTAGGATATGAAGAATTTGCACAATTGGACCTGAAGTGTTTGTCAGTAGCGTTACTGAACAAGATGCAACACAGCCTGGCTTACAGGGTGGGCATCCATCCCCAGTTTCAAATTTTAAGCTTGACTGCATGACATTAGAGAGCTTGACACAGCTGTCTAATGGCAACACGGATACTCAAAGACCTAAACAAGTGACAATGTGCCTAAGAAAACAAAATATTTGAATAATAATCCACAATACAGGATGGCTGTGTATCTAAAGGAACTGTAATGAAAAGCTTCAGGGTAAGTTCAAATGAAGCCTAAAAGGGTCTGTTATCTCGTCAAGTATAAAACAATCATATCATATAAAACACAACCTGTGCACTGCTCAGGCTAGAACACTTTTACAGCAATTACTTACACATATACACGTGTTGTACAGTATGCTTAAACAGTCCTTGATGAGGTCATCGCTTACTGCAAAGGAGAAAACAGACATTTGTGAGCTGTAAGCTGACAAAGAACACTAACATCCAAAGCAGTGATAGAACACCATTGAAAAGACCAAGAATTTCAAGCTAAGTGCTGGCTTACATCATACCTGCAAATGCTTGGAGAAGAAAAAACAGAGGAAGAATCACTACCTACCCTGTTTGCTTGCTTTCTTCCACAACTACTATTCACCTCTGCCTTGGACTGCAGACAATAAGATGTACCTGAGCTCTAGTGCACAGCTCAGTCACACGCAGAAGTAAAGGATAGAGTGTAAGCAAGATTTCAAAAGGGGAAATGGAAATCAGAAATTAAAAGTCTGTCAGCTGAAAAACTACTGACAGACCTTTAATTCCAGTTATTAAAGATGGAAAAAAAAGTGCCTCTTCACGTGGTTTTCTTCATACAGCACCAGGAATTATTAGAAAAACTTTCAATCTTATTTCTTCCAGCATTTCAATATTTAAGATGTATTTCAGATGTACAGGAGCTGCCTCAAGCTCAAGTCATTTCACCTTTGAAGTTCCCTGGCTGATGGGCATGGCACACAGCTTGACATTTCCTCAGAAGGGTTGCGTGGAACCAACAGAATCACAGACAACATAAATGAAAACACTCAATTCAAGCTGCTCCAGTAGGAAAGCTGCCCTGCAGCCACTGCTCCTCGTTAACAAATGCTCTTTACAACGTTTTGGAAATTACTAGTCACTGTGTCTAGGTTAGGAAAGCAGCATACCTTTGATTAGCTTACAATCCACACAAATCCCATTACATAAATAATGTTACTGGGTTATTGCTAATAATCGTTAACAGCAGCCAGCTAACAGCCACAGTAAGAGGAAAAGATTCCAGTGGTTGTAGATTTCCTGCACTGAGAAAAGTTATGCTGATAACATGAATACTCGTGAGCTTCACTTTGCAGCAGATGAGTATCTTAAACCAGCATGAATCAGCACTACAGAAAATAAAGAAACCAGTGACTCATTTTGGAGCAGGAAATCCCCGGCATGGAGAAAAGAGCAACAGAAAGCTGGAACAGCTCATGTCTCAAAAAGGGGCACAGCAACAACGAAGGAAGAGGCAGCACAACTATTTACTTACTTTTTTGTTTCTTTTTCTGTGTCATAAGAGTTGGTCTCATGAGAATTTCTACTAAAAGCTGAAATGACAACAGACACAGAATAAAGGGAATAATAACTGGAACACAAATGAGCAATTAATTTGTCGGTGACAAACCCAAACTTAGTCCCTCCTCTGCTGAAATCACTAAGATTCAGTGTCCAGAGTAAAAAAAAAACACTGGTGTCGAAATTAACAGAAATGGCTGTGTTCACCCTGAAGAAAGAATAACAGTTATATAAAATAGTTTTCCTATGGCAAACTATTAAGAATGTGAATCTACAAAGAAAGTAATTTCACATACCAGGTAACATGAAGGATGGAAATCACACATCCCCCCAAATAATGAACCTTTAGCAATTTTCCAATATTTAAGTATTAAAATAAAAGTGCTTTGCACTCTTGTAGCAAATGTACTTCAACAGCAGGCACCACTGCTTCTGTTTTAAAAATAAAAAGTATCGTTTTAAGCAGTTTCATATCATGCTCCAAATTTATTGGGTAGCTGAAGAACTTTGTCCTCAGTTGACAAGATATTAGCAAGTAAGCCAGTGCTGTTTCAAAAACATCTATTTAGGATGGATTGTTCTGGAAACAAAGGCACAGTGTTGCAATGAGAGTGAATCAGCAAAGACACTGCAAAAACCAAAAAGTCAGTCCACTGGAAAACACAAGCCAGACATTTCTAAGGAAAGCTAAGATCACAGTGGCTGATGATTGTGAGCTGGAGTAGACTCAGGTATCTGTGTAACACCAAACTGTAACGAACAGAATAAAAGATGAACTGTCAAAACATCACACATAAACCTATCAGCCCCTAGTTTGGTTTTTTTTCCTCCCATAGATGAAACAGTGCATTACATGCCAACAGTAAACACAGACCGTCTTGCTAACAGAGCACACAGTGTGCTTAATAAGTCCTCACACATATCCTTCAGTGGTAAATGAAATTCTCAGTGGTACCGAGAGTACTGCAGTACTTAATCTTACAACTAGAAATCGTTTGAAACCATTTCTTAATATTCTAGAGGTCTCGTAGCTCATTGAGCTACCTGAAGGTAAGAATCCAGAAAGATTCCAGTCTGTTATGTAACATGAAAAGTGTCTCTCCTGCACTGAGGACTCCGTGTCTGGTCACAGTATCTGGTCACTGCAGGTGGGGCCTCGCCAGCACAGGGCAGAAGAGCCACAATTGTAATGGTTAACATCAGCACAGTAAAATCATTCTGCAGATTGCATTTAGAAGAGTCTCAAAGATCCCATTTATGGACATACGAATGGTGCAACTGTTTTGCAGAAATCCTTGGAAAAACAAGCAAAAAACACAGCAAAACAAACCAAATAAACCATGCTTACATCAACTCCTCCAAACAAGTCAAACGTGTATGTATTGGGGAAAGTGGACTCTTGAGCAGCTTTTCTATCTTCTGTCACGAATGCCATGGCTTCCATTGAAAGAAGTGGAGAAATTTCCTGCATGCAAGAAAAAAAAAGATGATTTATAAAGAAAACTATTCATCTGCATATACACAACTTCCACAGAGCATCCATGGATCTACTGGCTCATCAATTACATGCATCCCTAGCTCTTATCTACATTCAATCCACAGGTACAATCAGAGAAACAGTTCCAAAAATCACAGTTGGTAAGCATATTTAAAGTTAGCCTTTAAAGAAGGTAACCACAAAACAGCACGTGGATTCCAGAAGAACGCAGAGGAAGGCACTACCTTTAAGATGCTTTGGCACTGGGAGAAGTCGCTGTTTGGGTGGCTGTGCTCATATAGCTTTTGTAACAGCAGGGGAATCCCATTCCACTTTGCTTGTTTATCTCTTTCCTTCAACAAGGCCTCTGTGATCTGCAACAAAGGAAGAATGTAATTCCCACATGTTCAACGTGTAAGGCTCAGGAAAACAATCCGTCCACAATAACAAAACAGGAACATCACAGAAAAACCGTGTGCTGTAGGCCATACCACAGCAAAACACAGCCCGTCTCCAAGCAGGGATTTATCCAGGGCTAGCAGCAGAACTGTGCGGATGGTTAACGTATCTGAAGGACAGGCCTGAAAGCAGATGTTATCATTTGGAATACTTACTCCCATCCCATAGTTCTGTATCGATCACGTTTTTCAGAGGGATCACATTCATCCAGTTCCACAAGCAGACCTCTGACTGACAAACCACTGAAGGAGGAAATTGGTGACCTTGACACTATCAAAAATGATATGAGACTGAAGTAGAGAGCATGCAATGAAGACAGACTCCATTCCTTTTCCCATTCAGTGTGTAATGAGTACCTCCTCAGCCAAGTCCCTAAAGCCATTACTGGTCATAGCAATGACCCAAACCAAAAGGACTGACAAGCATGCTCCTGAGGAACGTATCTACACCACAGTGAGAATTCTTCCTCCAGTCCTGGGCTGGTCCTAAATGGCAACCAGCATCTCCACCAGCAGGGGAACAGCACTGTGTTATCACTGAGGAAGAAGGCTGCAATCACCAAGAACACCTCAGCATTTGCTGCTACATTTTTGCCAACAACTCCAGTTTTCCTCCTTCTCAAAACATACAAAAATCCTCAATATTTATCACAGTGCTTTACACCTGAAAAAAATCAAGCTGCAGCACAATGCTGATGAACATTCCACTCAAAGAAGCTGCAGCAAGTGCTGCAAAGCAGGAAGGCTTCCAGGGTGATCCAGCAGATGCTCTAAAGGAGGAACTCCTCTGTGAAGTCCCCAGTGCAGTTAATGCTAACCAAAATGTAGCCCCTCTCCTTAAAGGTGCTTCACCAGAGGTTCCTAACAAACCTGCAGTGAGGACTGACTTTTGTACAGTTATGGCCAACAATGACAAGATGTCCAACCAGCAAGATTTCTGGCAAAATGTTTTACACACCAATCCCCAGGGAGAGCAGGACCATATTCCAGTGCAATGCGAGTGCATTTTCCCTTACCAGACCCACACTTGAAGCTGCCCTTGCTCTGTGCAGTCACTCCCTGATCCCTGGTTAACTCCACGCTTCCTTCCATGCTCATTGTTCCGAGCTGCAGCCAGGAAATCTCCTTCCTTATTGTTTCAGCCCAGGCATCCTTCTCAGCTATACCTCAGAACAATTCCAAAGGGCTGTTCAGTTCCTGATTAGACACAATTATATGCAAATATACTCCTATTTCTGAGAATTTAACTCTTTTCTCTCTGTGCAAGACAGCATACAATGTCAGAAATTTGTCATGATGAACTCAGACTGGCAGCATCTGCGAATCTCCCCCCCTTCTTACCTTCCCAGATACACAGGGTTTCTTTGTTTTGCCTTAAATCAAATACTCAGATTGGTACTTAAAGAATCTCAAGGCTCTTAAGGGTCTGTTTTTCTTGTTACAAGGAGTGATCAAAGCAGTGTGAGCAAGCCTGGCCCGTAACACTGCTCTCTTCAGTTTTCAACTTTTCTCATATTTCCAACTTGGAATAAGAGTCATCAACCAGCATTGCTGGGGAATGACGCAGAGCTCCTTCCATGGAGGCTGTTCCTACAAGAAATGGCAGGGCAAAACCAGAAACTCAAAATGGCTTTGCGTCACTTAGGCTGTGAATAATGGGTCAGCTCCTTTGAAGCCACAGATCCCCATCCCTCCCCCTGAGCACCCAGAGCACAGGGAGCTCTGCCACTGCCCCATCTCGGCGTGGGAGGAGCACACAGCACCGAGCTGCAGGAGGAACCAGATTAATTGCTGGGTGAAGCGCAAAGAACACAGGGAAAGGCTCCAGCTATCCAGCCCAGCTGATGGAGAAGATACTGCAGGCAACACTGAGGCACAGGGGCTGCAGCACGAGGTTCCAGGGTGCAGCACAGCACACGGCATCCAGCCCTCAGAGTGGCCAAAAGGCCTTCAGCACTAATAAAGCCCAGTCCCGGGCTTAGTGCTGCGTTTGCTAACCACACACATACTTCTCAGTTTGGGGCAGGATCTCCATTCTCATTTCTGTACTAGCAGCTCTTCCTCTCCCCAACTGATGTATTTGTGCTAATCCGCAGAAAACTTCCAGACTTGAGATTCTGAAAGGCTGTAGTAAATGTTTCCTTGTTCTCATCTTCTTTTAACTGCTTTCCAAGAGCAATTTTTTCTTCTCTTGATTTAAAACCCATCCTTGGTTTCGCTGCAAACTCCAGCTTGTGGTCCCCACTTTACAGTTACGAGGCTGCCCTGGCTCTGAGTATTTCCATTGTGGTGGGGCTGTATTTGCCAACATGAAGATTTTGGATTCTGTGGATGGATTCAAATTCAATTAAGTTGTATGGAGTTGTCTTCCTTTGGAACCATTTTGGTTAAGACGTGTGCCTCATGATTTCTGTAACAGCAGCAAGTCACCAGTTTTCCCTTGTAAGTGAAGTTGGTTTTCTCCTCGCTGTCTCTGGGTAGACATCAGTGAGCAGCCATCAGGATTAGTGGGGCCCCATTCCCTCTCCAACACATTTTCGGTCTCACCTAAGCAGGATAAACCCAACCAAACACGGACTCCTCAGAACCCTTCTTCACTTGCTAGACAGCTGCAGAGCATACCTGAGGGACCCCAAAGGAAGGCTGTGAGGTTAGACCTCATCTGAACCTGCCAACCATCCAGCCTAGTGAGACTGTCCCAGCCACCTCCTGCTCCAAGCTGTGGCACCCTGGTTCACAGACATTCAGGAGGATTTAGGCACCGAGCTGAAACACAGCATCAAGCCCCTCCAGCACCACAAGGCAGGGCATGCACAGCACTTCGCTTCAGCCTCTCCCAGAGGACTGCAGCCCACTACAGTAGGAATACTCTCCCATTATACAGTTATATGCAGGAAGAATTATACACAAAGTCAAAGAGACTGCAGACAGATCTGCATACTTTTTCTCCTTCTTCCTGTTAGAAATCCTTTTGGGTTTCTTCAGGGCATCCATTAGCAATTTCTAACATTCAACAACTACTAGCAAATCCCCACTCTTTCACTACACCATAAGCAGCCCTGTGCTCCTATCTCCCTGAATGCACACCCTATCAGCTTAGCTCCCCTTTCCCTTCTCCCCAGCACCTGCTGCTGCCGTGTCCATGCAGGACTGCAGTGCTCCAGGCACAGTCCCTGCTGCTCTGTGCCAGTGCACACGGTCAGAGCTGCACCATGTGCTGCAACACCTGTTACCTGCCTAAAGCTTCTTGCAGTGATGATTGCTTCGAAGCCTCTGTATGCTTTCCCATTTTACACTTCAAATGTTTCAGTCTTACTCAGCAGTCATTACAGGAAAGTGCTTTCTATGAGGCTGCTATCTGAAAAGGCAAAAGCAGTGAACTCAGGTGTCCAGGCATCCTTCACACCACTAAAGGACTCGCTCTGTGACAGATTATTTGGGGTTTTTTTAGTTCCTTTTTAGGCCGTTGCAACTGTGGATTAAGCTAAGACTGGAAGTCTCTAAAAAAGCAGAATTTCCATTCCCAGTATTCGTCTCAATTCTTTGTGTAAATCCCATGTTCAGAAAGTGTAAGAGAAATAAAATGGGCAAATATTAGGGATCTCACAGAACAGACACAAGCACATGGCCTCTGCGTATTTAGAAGGAAACCAAATCCTTTCCATATCCCTTCCGCCGAGCCTTTTAGGCTGCATCTTTATGAAACAGGAAACTAATATTTGTGCAATTAAATATTTAATTTTCCTCCCCGCAGTACTAACTTAGGAAGTTGTTTCTGACACACAGCCAGGAAAATGATTATTCACAATTTTGGGGACCGTCCAGTCATTTCTTCTCTTTACTGCGTTTTCCTTCCCAGTCACTACCAAACATTCCTTTGCACAATCTGTTTCTTTCCTCCTGCTACTTTGCACACACAACCACCAGGTTAACCCCTGCCTCGTCTTTGTTTTCACAAGGCAGCACCGCAGACACACAACCTCAGGCCCGCGCAGCAATTCTGGGAAGTGCTTTAGGAGAAAGCGCTGAAGCCTGCAGCTGCCACTCATCCGTTGGGTCTTTGGCACACAGCTGTGGGTAAGAACGTGTCAGAGGCCCCAGTGCTTTATTTGCAAAGGCAACTCCCTGCAGGTGGCACGAAGCTGGCAGAAATCCCCACTGCCAGCCTCCCTGCAGCCCCGAGGTGTGGATTATTCCTCCCAGCACCAGGGCTCCTGCAAAGCCCAGCCCAGCCCGCCACCATCCTCCTGACATCCCAAAAGAGGGGACAAACCTGGAGGCACACTGACAAGGACAGGCCCTGCTGCAGCTCCTGGCTCGGAGCAGCCATCCCTGTGAAGCCCAAAGCAGTGCTCCACTCCGTGTCTGCAGGAAGAGCTGTTCTATGAGCCACACCTCATCTACCTCCAAAATCCACAACCGCCTCTGAGAGCAGAACGACTCCAAAGCAGATCCTCAGCAGCGGCAGCTCTTCAGAACTAATACAGGGTACCAGTGTTTATTTTGATGATTTCATGCTCAGAGAAAAAATAAATCAATAAGATTGTAAAATATTAACTTCTCAGTGATCACTCTTGCCTTGGAACTGCCAGTTTCTTAATCCATTTTGAAAGCAAACAACATGTAAAGATAGCTAGGAAAAGGCAGGAGCAAGGAACTGTTTTCCTCCCACTCACTTTTAGTCAAGCAAAATAACACTCTCAGAGACTAACGTTGCCACTTTTCAACATCACCTCCTGCATATGACAGAGCTCTGCTCCCTGTTACATAAAAGCCAGTGCAAGCTGTCCAGCACTGGCTGGCTGCGCTCTCCTGAAGAGGTGTAAGCCTGCTCAGAGCAATACAATTAGAGCTGCTAGAGAGGATTATGTTCACGTGAACGTCCACTTGTCATCGTTGTCAGGAGGAAACAAAATTGGTTGGAAAACAAAATATTTTCAGAGATTTCATAACGGTAGGAAATGGAAATCTGCATGATAAGGTAGGAAATGTTTTCCTTTCACAGCAAAATAGTTCGAAGTGGATACGGACTACAATGCTAAGCAGAACCTCAGAACAGCAGACTGTGAGACAGAGCCGGAAAAACGGACTCTTTTCCACTCTGATTGTTTCAGCAAAGCCTTGGCAGTCCTGAGAGTGTGAGACCAGTGCTGACGATCTGCTCTTGGGACAGCAGCACAAGCATGCTAATTTGCCAGCAAATCTCTGGCTAATCCATTATTACACTGCTTCTCTACAAGGATTCACACTGGTGCATGTAAATATCTTCTGCTTTCATGTTACAGACACGCTTTTCACAGCCTGCCTGCAGCAGATGAGGCGTTTGTCCTCTTGCAGATGGGACGAAGCTTTGCTTTGAGCCTGGTCAGGTGAACCAAAACACTCCCTTGCCTTGATGGAACTGCAACACAAACCCTGCCATGTGTTATTTACAGTGCCTCTGTGCACAACACAGCTGTGCCAGGACAGGCACCACAGGCCAGCCAGTTCACAAGTAATATTTTCCTTATAAGACGTGTGTCACTTCTGGAAAGTCAGTCTGCTTCTTGTTTACTGGCACCTGAAAAGCCCCTTTCACTTGCTCAGTGCTCAGCACCAGGGCAAACCTTTACATGAGGTTATACAATCTGAAACAGAGGCTGGTACTCACATCCAGGGCAGCAACTGAGGCTAGCAATACGGCCACAAAGGATATATGAACACATAATGGCAGTGTTTACCAAAACCTGTTTCATTCATCTAACATCTTAACAATAATGCATACAGGCCAGCTGCCAAGAACACGGTGACTTCTGGTGGGTGAGAGCAGCAGGAACACGTGGCAAAGATCCAGGTTGTTCAGAGGTTCAGCTGGCCTCAGTGCTGCCAGATATTGACGTAGCTGTTGTCCAAATTATTTTCGTGTCCTTGTAAGATCAGGCTGATGAATTTCCATTGACACACGTCGATGTTATCCTTACCATCTCAAGAGCCAGCACCTGCTTTCCTCATACAGAAAGATTTTGAGATCACCTAAAATCAGTACTCAAAGCTTCATTACAAACAAAGCAAGTCTGCTGTTGCCTACAGAAGAATACTAATTGCTTCCCAGAGACCAGATGCTGAAGCAGCACCAATCTTGTGGGAGAACAGGGCTCGGATGGCAGGAACCACAACAGGCAATGGCGTTTCCCAATCTCTCTGAAGTAAGTGCTGGAAAAGAGTTTCTCCACAGGACACCAGATGTGCAGCTCAAGCAGCCTGCAACAGCTTCCCTGCAGAGAACATTAAGGGCACTGTCCTGACTTTTCTTCTAGACCCAAACACAGCAGCTCAGAAGCCTTCTGCTCTCAGGCTTTTCAAAGCAAATGAGCTGAGAACCCCACTCAAGGGCTCCACACTGCTACTGAGGAGTCAAAAGAGGAAAATGGTCTGATAAACACTGATAAAAATAGTACCCCAAACTGCCTTGTGCTTCTTTAAAGGTTAGGTCGAAGCATTTTAAATTTAGATCTGCAAACAAAAGACTTGCTTCAAGGTAACAGTACAAAGGCACAATTCAGAGTTGAAAATCATTCAAGAAGTTTTGTTGGTTTTTTTTTTTTCTTCCCCTCAGTCTAAGTAATTCAAAAATGCATTCCTACCACATTTGTGAAGCACTGGGAGCCCTACGGCCCAAGCCTGAGATTTCTCAGCTCAGCACAGACACAATGAAACGTATGAAGAAAAACAAACAAAAAAGCAACACAATTCACCCTGAATTTGGATCTTGTGAGAAGGAAGAAGTAGCTGGCAGAAGCCTCCTTGATTTCTCCAAGTCTGGACATTTGTGGTCATTTCAAACAACTGCTAACATCCCCAAATTAAAACATGGTACAACACTGTGCTTCTCAAGCTAAACGAAGCCCAGAGCAGACACAGCAGCCCAGCACTTCATGTTGGTGCACAACCTGGTTACAGGTTTATTTGGCTTAAATTGCTATGGGAGCCTAGAGCACAGAGGCAGTGACACAGGTTGGTGAGCCACCACAGCCTGCGTCTGCAGAACGCTTTCCTAAAACAACCCACTGAAATAGCTGCCTGTAAAACAGAGAGTAACAGGGTTAAATCCAAGCAAGCAATGAGGTTTTTCTCAAGTATTAACCAAACTGGCATCTGAACCAGCAGTAGAACCAGGACAGAGCAGCAGCTTAAAATCACCTCCTGCCTCTTCCACCTACCTCATCTACAGTATTGGGGATGGATGCTGATTTGGATGAGCAAGTATCCTCCCAGGGACTGCTCAGAAGCCCTCTTAATCAAGGAGAACACCCTAATGGCTGAACTAATGAAAACCACTAAAATCCCATTTTTACCACATTTGAAAACTTAAGATACTGTTAGCTTAATAAAGAGACCACTGAAAAGCAAGTTCTTTATGCCACGCTTCTGTTTCCTACCTTTGCACCTTTAAAAGAAACACCGACTGTTGTTTGCAACAAGAAACGAGCAGCGCAGAACCCCGGGGCGGCTCGTTAAGAAAGCAGCACGCACACACACGATAGGCAGCAGCCCGGGTGGAGGAGCTGCTTCCATTCCTCAGCGTTTCCCACCATCATCAGCTTCCTCGCAGAACCCAGCACGGCTCTGCGGCCTTTCCCCATTTAGATGAAGGATGGGATAAGAGGAGCCCACAGGCGGCCTGCCCTGCCCCTACCCCTGCCGTTGCCCCCGCTCCAAGGCCCGGCCCCGGTACGAAGCCGATCCCCGAACGGCCCAGCAGCCGCAGGAGCGCAGCCTCAGGACCGGGCCCAGTGCAGGCCCGCAGCTCCGCCCGCCCCACGGGGCCCACGGTCGCGCAGCCCGCCCCCCCGCACACACACAGCCCTCCCGGCGGTACCTGCGCCCCCCGCGTGAGCCCGCGGCCGCTGAGCTGCCCGTGGCGGAGCTGCGCCAGGATGTTGGTGGGGGCTCCGCGCCGCCGGCGGCCGCCGGGCCCAGGGCCTACCGCCGCCATGGCCGCTGCCCCGCTCGGCCCGAGACAAACAGGAAGCGCCCCCTCCCTCGCCGCTTTGTACGGAGCGGCGCGAGGGACCTCCGCAGCGCCCCCTTCCGGGCACGGCGCGCTTTGCGGGAAGAGGCTGAGCGCAGAGCATGCTGGGAAATGTAGTCGGGGGGGGGGGGGGGGGCCGGGGCGCAGGCGCAGGGGGCCGGGACGGAGCATGGCGGTGGGACGGCGGCGGGCTGTGTTTAGGAGTGGCCGTTTGCCCCAGCGTGCGCTTGTAAATGCGGCAGAGGCAGCTGTGCAGGTGCCGCGGCGAGCCACCAGGCTTAGCTAACAGCCCTCCTCCGCTGCGGGCCTAACAGGCGCTTGAGTTAAGCTGCAAGGGCGTTTGGTAAAGCTGCCACGTTTCATCAGGTGTCTGAGTCATAGAATCCTTAGGTCGGAAGGGATCTCTGAGGGCCGTCGTGTCCAGCTCCCCTGCAGTGCACAGGGACACCTGCAGACCAATCGTGTTGCCCAGGAACCCATCCAGCCTCCTCTTCAAAGTCTCCAGGGACGGGGCGCCAACCACTCCAGGTAACCTGTTCACTGCCTCACCAGCCTCACCATAAAGGATTTTTCCTTTCCAACCTAAATCTACCCTCCCAGAGCCTGAAGCCATTTCCTCCTGTTGTGTCACCGCAGACCTGCTAGAGTCCGTCCCCTTCTGTCCTGTCGCTTCCCTTCAGATGCTGACAGGCTGCTCTCAGGTCACCTCACAGCCTTCTCCATGCTGCACAGCCCCATCTCGCTCAGCCTGTCCTCACAGGAGATGTGTTCCATTCCGTGGATCATTTTTTTGGCCCTTCTCTGGATGTACTCCAACAGGTCTATGTCTGTCCTGTAATCAGTGGCTTGCAGCCCTCAGAACATCATCATCATGAGCAGCGGGCAACCGTGCCATAAATAACACCAGGGAACACCCAGATGCAGCTTAATTCATATACTCAGCCAATGTGCAGACGTCCAAAAGCCTTCCCTGACCATGCTGTGCAGGCTGCTTACTAGCCCTACTCCCAGCACCCTGGTCTGTGCAACACCACAACATTCAGGACAGAGGAAACAGCTCCTTGGTCAGCACAGCAGGCCAATGCCCTGTGAACCTAGCTGAGGTGAACAATTCAGACACAGAACTAAAATCCACAGTGCAGCATGCAAGGAGCTTCTCAAATCAAATTAAGACAAAACAGCAACTCACAACCATGTGAACAGCACAGACCACAAGAAAGACCTCTGCAAAAACCTGCTCTGCCCCAAAAGAAAAAAAAAAAATTGCATTCACATGAGCTGCCAAGAAAGTGCAAAACATCACAAATACCTGAGGGATAATAAAGCAAACAAATCAAAGAGGTCACACCAATTTACAAAGGCAGACACACAAGAATGAGTTCCTGATTCGCATACAGGCAGCAGCTCCTGCAACTTAACCATCACCAGTAGCTACCTTCATCCCTTGCTTGCTACAGCCTCTCAGACTTCTACAGCTGCTATCTCTTGCCAAGC